AGTACTTCCTTATCTATCAATACAGGTTTCTCTGCGTAACAAAATTCTGTACATAGGATAAAGCAGGCATCTTCTTACTTCTTACAGTAAATCTCCCATTGTTACTGACCTGTAGGGCCAAAAAAATGAAAAAGAGAAGGGCAAAAAGGAAATAAGGAACAAGAAAAGCACCTGTCTTTAAAGATGGTGAACTCAAATTGATCCTAAAGAAAATCATCAACCTATTTCTAGATTTTTATCATTACTCAATTCCCCTTCCTAGCAACCCTCCTAATTGCTTCATTAGGCAAAATACGTTCATGTCATTGACCCAATTGCCAATTTTGACTTCTGAACTCATTTGTGTCCTTGCAACATTTTCCATACCCTATTAAATATTTCTCGGTTTCTATTCTACATTGACCACCGTCTACTTACAGGTGATATGGAAGTATAAGGAAGAGAACCAAAAAAAAATTCGGAATGAAACCCAAGACCTGAACAATTTGCCTTAAAAAAGTGAAATCTAAATTTCGCTGGGTGTAAACCATAATGTGGTGAGTCGTAGTTCTTGGAAATTTATTTCTCAAGATTTGGATGAATTTAGAAAACATGTTACCTTTGAAGGTGGGAAATAGTGAAAGAGTTTGCTTTTAGAAGAATAATTGGATTGGTGAGTCATTCTTGGCGTCACAGTTTACATGACTCTTTAGATTGCTGGGGTCCCATAATTTTCTGGTGACTAGGGTAGTTGGATCTTATCTTTCTTCCTTTGGGGGGTGAAAGTTGAATTTTTTCCAAAATCTTGATGATCAGGATTTTTTTGGAGTGTTCTTTCCTTCTTTCTTTGCTTGATTTGGTCTCTTCAAATCCTTCAGTTAGAGATAAAATGTTTTGGTCTCGAGTCTTCTGGAAATTTTTCTTATTGTTTCTATTTTCGGTGGTTGAGTGACGATCAAAATGATTCCATTTTTGAACCTTAATAAATGATTTAGTAAGCAAGATTGTTTGTCAAGGTGAAAGTGCTTGCTTAGGCATCTCTTTTGGTAATGTGATTTAATGGTTTTGGAAAGAGGAAAAAAAGTTCTACTTTGGGGAGATGTGCTACTTTGACCATTTTCTGGGTGTTGCGGATAGAAAAGAATCGCAGAATTTTTGAATAAAAGGAGGAGGAAAATGAATTATTACAGGACAGAGTGAAGTTTTTTGCTTCTCTTTGGGTTGTGGCTACTAACAAGTTTCGTGACACTCCTTTATTAGTTCTACAATATAACTAGAAAGTTGTTTTTAGTTATTAATTTGTTTTGTTCTCTTATTTCGTTCTTGTAGGTGGATTTCATATCCACTATTGTTTGTACATTTTGATTTTTCTATGGAATGAAATTTTGTTCCAATAAAAAAAAAAAAAAAAAAGCTATTATCCTAATGTATACTATGCAGGAAAAAAAAAGCCGTACCAGTGGCATAGGATAGGTATATACTTAGACCTTTTGAATAATCTATTTTGAAACCTCATTGTCAACAGCTCATCTTAATCTAGTCAAATACACTAGTTCAGACTATCTCAAAAAGGAAGTCTTACCACTAACGAAATATGAAAAAATGTTTCTTATCAGAAAGATATGATTGTGCTATCACTGGTTCTCTGATTGCCATTGGGAAGAAGATCAATTTGGTGAAATGTCCACTTTTGCGTTTCTGTTTATTTGCCAGGGTCAATGTTTGTCAGTAAAATCCTCAAAACTAGAAAGAAAAAACGTCAATAAGCAATGGCAGTAATATATGATCCTATGCTTCATGAGGGGCATAATTACGCCACAATAAATGCTTGCTATAGATACTAAAACAGCCTAACAACTTAGTAAAAGCTTTCACTAAGGCTTTAGTGGAAATATGGTTGAACTAGACTGTAACATCATGAGCAAAACCAACATCTAATTCCCAATATACTTGTTACAAAAATCACATCTACTTCCCAAATGGTGAGCCAAGTTGATTAGAATATCGTAGGAGTTTATAATGAGATATTCTGGTCATCAGACAAGAACCAGACATGTGACAAAAACATGGATGACAATGAGAGGATCATTCTCTTTGCTTGTCACTACTCACTTCCCACATCCTTAATTGCTTCTTTCTTTTTCTCTACCATATACTTTTTGTTCCTTCTTACATACTTCACCAGCATTATGATGTTACATAATGGCCTCAAAACCACATATATCATATAAGATCAGTTGAAATAAAAAAAAAGAAGGCAATATTAGGGTTGGAAAGCAAGAGAAAGAGAGAAGAAGACGCAAAGAGAAAAAAATCAGTTGTGTGTAGGTTCTGTTGCCCAACACCCTCTTATTTACATTGAAAAATATCTCGGGTAATTACAGTATTACCTCTACACCAGCTTATTTTCCATAAATATAAAATATAAAAATAAGAACTCTAACAAGATCAATGATTATCCAGCTTAAAGAAATGTATTTCTATATTAAATATAACACTTTAAAATGGAAAAGCTACAGCAAAGAAAACTAGAAAAGATCAAGGCAAAGGAAATATCTGCAAACTCTTGCACCAACCATAGATAGTATGCACTTAATATTAGCAAAACCTTAACACATGCAGAACGTAATCTATGCAAAGAAGGATAACAATAGGTGACTGAGTGTACAGAGCAAACCAACATAAACATGGGGAGATTCAGAAAAACAAAACAATTAAAATGGCCCCATGCCCAACCAAAGAGAAAAAGGCAATAACAACCACCACATCCACCATTTAAGGTGAATAAAAGTATCACTTGTATCACCTGTGCACCACATTTCGGCCATGAAGATAATTTAAACCATTCAAAATCTGTCTTGTGTACACAGAGACTTGGGAATCCCGCAAATGATACTTTTGATAGAGGTGTGCCAGTGAACCTTTGGTTACAAGTTCAAGGAAGATATAGAGTTTTCCATCACCCTGGAACAAGTCAGTTTGTACTTTTAGAAACAAAGAGGAAAGATGAACGCCAATCGCATAATCTACAAATAGAACAAAAACAAGCATACAGATACCCTAGACAAAGTACAAACTCTATTTTTTTTCTCAACAAAAGGCCATCACTAACAGCGCTATGTAACACACGGGCTTTGATCCAATGGTACTCCTTGTTTTGCCATCTTGAGATCAAGGGTTCAAGTCTCTCCCCTCCCCCTCCCCGAAAAAAAAAAAAAAAACAGCGCCATGTAGAAGGTGTTGCAGACTTGTTGCAACTTGCAACAAACAGTTCATCAACACCAAAAGGCACAATATACTGCTTTTAAACATGTTCTTGATCTACATCATGCTAAAAGGTAGACCTAATTGGTATAAAGGCAGTGTCACAGCTATAGTTGGAAGGTCGCTCCCAGAGTCGTTCTGGATTTGGGTAGTACCTGGTAATTTCAATTATCTCTTTCTTAAAAAGAAAAATTGTTTCTCAACATAGGGATGTGAGCGAGAGAACAAAATTTGTCCATTACTAGAGCATAGATCAAGTTCTTGTTCTTTCCTAAGTTGTGGATTCTGCAGTTTATCCCCATGTGTTTTCATCATAAGATAATTGTGATGCCGAGGAAGGACAAATTTCTCCCAAAGTCAGTGAGTGTGCCATAAACAAAAACATTGGTAATTTCAGAACTCTGATGCCAAGATCACAACATGGAAGAGAGGACAAGCGGGAAAAGGGGGGGGGGGAAGCAGCCCAACCAAAAGGTTTAAAGGCATACCTTGTCTGTGCCAAGATATTGAACTATGTTCTCGTGTTCGAATTGACTTAAAAGAGAAATCTCCTGCACCAATTAGCAATTGTAAGATAAAGAAACCATGCAACCAAAATAATTATGCAATAGCTTTTTTGCATATAGATACAATGATACATCACAAGCTATATGAAATCCATTAGGACATGACAAATTCTACATACCTGTTCAAGTTGATAAATGCTTTGCTGGGCTTGGCTTCCTTGATCAAGTAAAGAAACCTCCTTCACAGCAAAAAAGAAACCATCACTGCAGAAAAACAAAAAAGACAATATAAGATGAGTGACAGAGAGCAAGATGCTAAGATCAAATCTATTTAGCACTACTAGCTACTTTCAATAAGTTCAAGAACTCAAGGACCCTTCATAGTTTGGTTCAGAATTCAGATAACACAACTTCGCTTGTAATGCTGCGTGATCAACAAAAGGCTCACCCCATCTCAATTCTCCTTTTCCCGATTTCTCCACTCTATCAACAATAATTGTGAGTGTGAAATCATTTTGTTTATAGAATTTCACGCACATAAGCCACAGACTTGTATATGTACAAGGCAGCTGCAAGATCCATTTCTTCCCTCGGTGTCAATTAATGTGAAGTATTTTAGGATGTGAAGCAAGTAACACAAAATTATTGTATATCTTCCCAATAAACTTTTGACACACAGAATGCTTTTTTACTTTCTTATAGTGATGCATCTATACAAAGGACTTGGCACAGAGAGTTTATATGCCACATACTTCACTCAGCCACAATATCGGCTTATAAACACCAAAGTTAATAACAAAAAGATGTGACTGCCCTCAATTACTCACCATTAAGGATCACAGTGCTTTTACCATTGTTATGGAGACTGATATCAACTCCTACGATCTACAATTATTGTAGTCTTTTACTTGGCTCATGTTCAAACTTTGTTAACCATGAGAAACAATATAAAGATGCAGATGGACTTTTATGCCTGATATCTCATTGTGTCTTCACTTTGTAAGATGCCTTTTTCATTCAATGCATAATACTACTATTTTTCATATTCTATTAATATTTTACTTATTCTACAGTATTTTCCAACTACTATCCAAAGACTTTTTTGCTTGATCATTGATTCTCCCAGTAACTTGAACCATTTCTAGTGCGAATTGTCCAATTTCAAGAACGATAAAACTGAAGATAATTATATATAGCTTGCCCATTACTGGGGTGATGTAAAATAAAATGGAGTATTGAGTTGCTTAACACTTACTCGGTGAAGCCTTCATACACAGTTCCGAACGACCCACTTCCCAGAAAGTCGCCCTTCTGCCAAGAATTGATACTGCGCCTGAATTTCCCATTAGGTAAAGTGAAATACACAGGTTCCACGGTCACACTAAAGGAATCATCATCATTTTCATCGTTCGATGTATCCGAACAGGTTTCTGAAGGAATTGCCGTATCTCTCAACGTTACTTCTGTCGGCTCTTGTTTGTCAACAATTCTTCTATCGACGTCCTCGTTTTCTTCTCCTTCGTTTAAAGTACAAACGAACCCTACAGACACAGGTGAACTCAAACCTTCATCATCTCCTGGACCAAAAGACCTACATAGATCCCAAGTTGAGCATACATTATCGGTAACAGACCGCAACACAACCGGGGGAGGAGCAAGTACTGGTGGCCTAGCCCCCTTAATTCCACTACCACCATACACAGACGTTCTCGTCCTAACCGAATTTGCAAAAACATTAAACTGTCTATACTTATCATCCGCGTGTTTAACTCTATCCATTACCTTAACCCTAGCTTCATCCTTATCTGAATTCAGACCATCCTCAGAGTGAGAGTACTCGTTCTCACCCTTGAGTTCATTACTAATACTAACCCTAGCTTCAAAACTATCCAACAATACACCCTCCGGCGATTTTAATTTCTCCGAATTGCAACTACTTCGAAACCTGGAACTCGGAAAATGATCCGAAGGCGAACGAGCTTTGTGAGCCTCCCAAACAGAAACCGGAATAGTAAAATCATCAGGTCCGGAAAGCCCTAAAGATCGGCAAATTCGATCCAATTCACCTTCAACCCCTTCAACTCGAAAACTCGTGCAATCACTGAGCGGATACAGATCGAGTGAACGAGTCCGGTGTTTTGATTCATCATTAAACGAATTCGACGACGATGATGGTGCTGAGGAGGAGGTCGACGCGACGTACACGATGTTCTTGTTCGCGTTCAGTCGAACAAACCTCGGCCTCTGTCCCTCCAGCTTCGTACTCATCCCCTCTCTCTCTCTCTCTCTCTCTACGTATATGTCTACATATAGTGTGTTCGTAGAGATTGTTGCGAGATAAAGAAATGGAGATCTGCGTGTTCTTGATCAAGAATGAATAGGAGATGGGAACAATGATGCGATTCAGGAAGAGTCGGCGTTACTGTTTCTCTCTCCTCTCTGTCTCCCGAGTCGGCGTTACTGTTTCTCTCTCCTCTCTGTCTCCCGAGCCGGCGTTATTGTTTCTCTGTGTTGTTTCTCTCTCCTCGTCTCTCTCTCCTCGTCTCTCTCTGTCTATAATCTCTCTTCACGCGTTGTCTATTGCTGCTATGAGTTGGAAAATGGTAGGAAACTGACAGGGAGATAGGGACTAAGGAAGAGAGGAAATGGTAAAAGCGCGGCTCCTTTGCCCCGTGGCGGCTTTCTTATCTCGCTCTATCTGGTCAACGGGTAAATATGGATCACCTTAATATGAACATCTAATAATAAATAGAACGCTGTAAGAAGCTATTTGATTAAATGCTATATAGACGGGGAGATGGTGACGGGGATTAAAATTTATCCGTGAAATAGCGATGGAGGTTAAAATTTTCCTTGGATATTAGGTTGTGGGTATTTTTTTAGAATTTATTTAATTTTAAATACCATAGCCATATTCATACTCAATTAATTTCTCTTTTTTGTTAAATTATTGTTTTTATGTACACATTTTAATTTTTTTTATTACCTAATTACCCCTATTATAAATATTATTTATCATTGCTAATTTTAATATTTTCAAATATAACAATTTCTAACTTGAAAATTGGGATAGCATTAAAATTATTTATATATATATATATATATATATAATAACATGTTTAACAAAAAATTTAGTAATATTTAATTAAAAATTTAATCATTGCAATAGTATAACATTATATGTGAGTACTTAAAACTATTATATTGTCCACAACAAAATAAGTAGTCATGAGCTATATGGCGTTCCTCTATTGTGATGATTAAATTTTATTGAAGATGTTACTATATAATTTATTTATTTTGTCATATTATTGTTTGATGTTACTATTTAATATTATTATATATAAATAGATATAATAGAAAAAAAATTATAATGCTAACACAATTCTCAAGTTATAAATTGTTAATACTAATACTATTCCTAATTTAGGAGTTCTTAGTATTTTCAAATAAGTTTTGATTAAATATAATTATTGAGGGTATTTTGGACAACAAAAAAAAATAAAATTAGTCTAAAACAAGTTTTTTGAGTGGACTTAAGTCTAAATAAGTCAACAAACAAACAAAGAACCGACCTCCAAATGATCTGATTTTCCCTTCTAATTAGTGTGAATTGAAAATTGTCGAATATTTTTAAAACAGGTGCGGGAGTCGAGACTACTCCCTCACCTCCGTCCCGGTCTACTGCCATCCATCTCTACTTGCTCACAAACATTACATCACAGTAATGATGTGGTGCCACTGCCCGATATTTTCTCCTGTTGATCAGCCAACACACAAATGTCTTTCTGAGTTATGACCCAAAAAATAAAATGCATACAAATGTCTTTGGGCTACTGGGAAGATTCAAGAATCTGTTAGTGTAATAGGGGTTGGTGAAAGCATTGGAAGAAAATAAACTATCAAATATATTGGCAAATGATTGGAAAGATCTCTAGATGAAAGCATTAAGTATAATTTGTCTTTGTTTCGTAGATGATGATCTATACTATGTATGGATGAAGAATATCCTTTAGATATGCAAACAAAAATGGAGAGTTGTACAAGGACTAAAGATGGAAGACAATTCAGATTTGATTCTACTCATAAATCTGTTCAATCATATTATCAACAATCTGTTGAGGATTGAGAGCAAGTTCAATAAGGAAGATCATGAATTTGTGTTTTTAAATTCTTTTCAACTAATGGAGCCTTTGCCCAATGGTACTACTACTTCTCTTGTGAAAAATTTTATCTTATTAAGATTAAGGGTTCAAGTTTTATAGGCGACAAAAAATGTGGTTGGTTGGTAAGATAGATCTCAATTGTTTGGACGAATCATATTCAAATCTCTAGTATGAATTTGAATCCCCACAGAAGCACAAGTCTTGATTTAATTGGTGATCGGTTCATGCACTAAGAGTCCACATCTCTACTTGCCGGTGACAGATTAAGAATTTCCCCAGTTCACAAAAAAAAAACACTTCTTTTTCATATTCCATATGAAGATCTAGTTATAACCCTACTGTATGAAAAGAAGACTCTTAACTATGGAGGAAGTTAAAGGAGCCTTATTGACATATAACCCCAAGAGACAAAATGTCATGAAGGGATCCCAAGTGAATGGCTTAGAGCAAAGGGTAGCAACAAAAAAAGAAGTGAAAACACGAATCAAACACAATTTTGTTTTTCATTTTTACAAAAAAGTGAAAACAAAAAACACAAAACAACCATATTTACAAAACATGCCCGTAGTCTTTGTTTCTCGCACTTTATTTTAATACTAAGATAAAATTATAATAGGTAGAATAAAAAGAACTTGATTAATCTTTGTAAAGTTTGCAGATTAGTGATCAAGTATATAAAATATTGACAAAAGAGACGTATATATTAGCATGGAATATTTGATTTACAAGAAGCAAATGCTGAATCGAGAAGATAGAGAGTAGCATAGAATACTACTCAAATAACGAACAACAAATAAATGGGCAATGTTTGAATGCCTTGTCAAATATGAAAGTCCATTGAAGATTGAAAAGATTGCCAATCAAGTTTTTCTCCTCATTTATCAAATAAAAGGGATGATAAGAAAAAATTAAATAAATTACAAAAATACAGGTGAACAGACTACTAGGGGTGTTCAATTTTTTAATTGGCTGCAATTTTCTATTCTACCTGACCCTATCCTACCATACTGAACGACTAGTCGCAAAAATCGGGTAGGAATGTAAAAGAGTTTTTGGTCTTTTGATTAAATCGGGTATAAATGGGGAATACCTATAAATTTTCGCATTACTACCCTACCTGCAAAAAATATATTTAACTTTTTAATTTTTTTTTTAATAATTATAAGAGTATTTGTGTGGTATAATTTATATTATAATATTATTATTGTTGTGGATGTTTGAGTTACGAAAATATGAACTTGTTTTTTGTGTAGGTTACATGATTTGTGGTGAATTGGTTATCTATTGGAGCAATTATGATTTTAACATGTTTCACTAGTTTAAACTTAAAATAATTATTATTGTATTTGTATAACAATTATAATGGATTGATGTTTCTATTTTATTATATTTTATTATAATTGTTGTTGTAGTTATTTTATGTTTTAGTGTTATTGATTTATTGTGTTCTTAAATTGGTGCATGTTATTTAATTGAATTGTTAAAATGATCCAAAAAATAATAGCTATAAAAGTGTTTATCCGACTTTCTACCTGATTAATCAGGTAGGAAGTCGGGTATGAATACCATACTTGATCGGGTAGGGTAGACTAACGAAAAATTATTCTGTAAAGTATCGGGTAGGAAGACGAAATATTATATTTCGTATTCATAGGGTAGGGTGAACACCCCTATAAACTACTTTGACATCTAATAAGAAAAAAATTAAACAAATTACAAAAACATGGGTGAACAGACTACTATTACATCTGCCAAGTGGACAAGCAAGTGTTAGTAAAACATTTTTGAAAGTAAAATTAGCTTTTTGGATGGGATAATAGAAGAACTTTTACTTTTTACACACATGTCAGTGGCAATAAATCTCAATTTAATAGGATAATTTATTGGGTTTGAATTTCGACAATTCTTTAAGCTAAGATTATGAGAGATTTATTCTTCATGAATATCATAGTTCCGGCGTCAACCAATTCTTAAAAATGGTAGGAGAGAATTTTTGGAATTTTTCCTCAATATTTTTTTATTTCTAGTTTTTTGGGAAAAAAACACATTGATGTTCTCCGATCAAAATTTTCATGCAGCCTTTATGTGATCACTCCTGTCATTTTTTTAAATTATTTTAGAACAACTAGTTAAGAACTCCAAATTAATTTCAATAACATTATATTTGACAAATGCTCCAAATTATTATATTTTTTTTAAATGCTAAGCTAATTAATGAGTAATATTTTGGGATTTTTTTAGGCCGGTACACTTTTAACAACTTATTTGGCTTAAAGTTCAAACACAAAAAATATAAAGTTAAACACCGTATTTAAAAAACAAATAAATTGTCAAATCTAATATGCATAAATTAAAGTAAAGATAATTACGCAATACGAAAATATGTAAAACTATAAATTTGTACATGCTCACCAAATATTTAGGAGAACGAGGACTTAATGATTGAAAAATTTGAACTATGTACTTTAAGATAAATAAGTTATCTAGAGTGCACCCTTGCCATTTTTCTTAATTTTTTCCAATGCAAGTTGGAACTAGGTGAATGTGATAAGGTATTACAAGGGCTATTATTTAGAAACATAAGCTTTTAACAAAAATATATCTCGAAAAAGCAGGTTGATTAGTAAGAATTCACACATTGAATATATATGATCTACAAAACTCAACTTTTTTAATCATATTCAATAGAGCTACAAAATTTTAGGAAAGTGTGTACATTATCAACATTATGATATATGAACCCTCAGTCTCAAACCTCGTGAATGAATAATGGTTTGCAACCCCACAGAGAATCAACCCAATTACAAGTAATAGAATACTTTTGAACCCCTCAAAGTAAGAAATACGCCTAAAGACTCTACAATATAAGTCTGAAGGGAACCAAAATTCATCATACCCAACCATACAAAAGATAATGCTCATAATTTCCTCTAAAATTCATGCACACCCTAATTCATATTCCGAAATTCTCAAGCTACATGTGCCCCAATCAATGTGCTCGGTGATGATGTTGTCATTGCTGATGCACAAGTTGCTTAAATTTATTTTCAGTGTCTTCGCAAATTAGGAGTTTCAATTTCAACTCAAAAATCTCTGATTTAT